AAAAAAAAAGTAAACAATGCCTGCATGTTTAACACGCAGCTCATCCCACACAACGAGTGTGAGGGTGGCTTCGCTAACAAGTGACAGGGTGCTAATTACAACTTTTTAGAAAATGTATTTTTAAAGTACTGTCCAACATTTAATGAGCCTCTGCCTGTGGTTAGCCGCGTATGACTTTTAACTCCCTGTTCAGCCCTCATTATTATTTTCTTATAATACTCGCCTCCTACTGGTAGCTAAGTATAGAGGTTTTAATTGGCACTCGCACACGACACAAAGGAAACACGTGGCAGGTTAATGTTTTTAAGGAAATGCACTTTGTATCACAGTTTCATTGACGAGAGTAGAAAAGGAGCAAAATAGAACAAGAGCTCCCACATTAAGCCAGTGCAGTGAAACCTCACTATTCCTTGTTGCTTGGAACCAATAACAAAATATAAAAAGAAAAGATTTGCCCCCTGCCCCATAATAATAATATTTATAAGGTTTAGCAAACGTCAATGTTAGCAGGTAAGGTTCCAATCTATGGTTTTACATTGTAATATTACCTTTCACCACTAGGACGACAAGGCTTAGTTAAACTTGCACCAGGCGTTCTGCTGCCTTATCCTACAACATGAGTTGGCCTGAGAAACGTTTGTGTGGATTTTGATAGGGACAAACATAGTACCTGCGGGGAAAATTTAAAAACAAAATGGAGTGAGTTGATTTTTACGGGAAAAAAAATACTGTACACAAAAAGGTACCGGGTTCGATTCCAGCTCCGGCCTTCCTGTGTGGAGTTTGCATGTTCTCCCCGTGCCTGCGTGGGTTTTCTCCGGGTACTCCGGTTTCCTCCCATATTCCAAAAACATGCATGGCAGGCTGATTGAACACTGAATTGTCCCTAGGTCTGACTGTGAGCGTGGATGGTTGTTTGTCTCTGTGTGCCCTGCGATTGGCTGGCAACCGGTTCAGGGTGTCCCCAGCCTACTGCCCGAAGACAGCTGGGATAGGCTCCAGCACGCCCAGCGACCCTTGTGAGGATTAAGCGGATCAGAAAATGGATGGATGGATGAATACTATGTTATTGTTGTTATATTTTATTAATCATAATTATAGTACTTATATTTTTTTAATTGGAAATGTCCTCTGTGGCTCCCCGAGTAGCACTGATGAAAACTTAAGGCCCCCTCCATCATTAAGGTACCCGCCCGTAGGTTAGATGTAGCGTTAGGTTTGAGGTAAGGTATGGCGTTAGATTTATGCTAGGGGAAAGTCTGTTGGAGCGTTGTTTTGGAAGAACAGGTTTATCTTAATAGAACTGCTTTAGCTGCAATTGTTTGAGGTAGCTGATATCTCGCAACAACCCGAATTGCTCTTTTTTTTTCTTCCCTCTTACTTTTGAGGCTGCGGGAATCACACATTGTGTCTTTCTCTTCACTCGCTGCCGCACCGCCTGTTTGGGGCTCCAAAGCAATAAAGCCCATCTGAACAAGCTCAGCACGAATCTCACATTGCTCCATCTTTTTATTTCCCATGAGCACGGAATATGCATGTATGCAGAATTGGTCCCGAATAAGCACTAATGTGTGCAGATTTGATGAGATCCCAAAGAGCCAGACCTCAGAGGGCGGCATGTGTCCTTGGACTCGGGGACCGCACCTACATGGAGATGTGCTGGCAAGTACAAGGCACGCTCAGGACCGAAAGCAACATTTCCTGCTATTAATAGAAGCGGAGGGGGTGTCTCTTTGGCTAAATATAACTCTGTTCTTTACTTTTCGTGCCCAGTCGTCTATTTTTATCCTCTCCCAGGCCTCCCTAAGCCGTGGCTGTCTTTTTTTGGGAATGTTACATAACAACGCGCTGGTTCTCAAGGCGAGTGATGCAGACTTTGAGAATGAAATATTACATCACTATCTGACACACGAGACAAGCTGTGTTAGTATTAAGAGATAGAGCACGTAATCGCACTCAAAACACCGTCTGTACGTCAAAGTTAAGTCGCCTTGGAACCTTCTTAACTGTCATACAAAAACTAGCCAAACGTGTTCCAAAGCTGCCCGCCGTTAGTGCTAATAGCAAGTCACGAATATGGAAAAAAAAAAAAAAATCATAGCTAAATACTCAGGCACAGTACGTTTCGGGTTAAAGCAAGCTGCCATGGCCACCGGGAACAAAGTAGATTTGGCTTTTGAGACGCGATTACCGTATGGGGTGGGACTCGGTTTAGTGCTTGGGATAAGGGTAAGGGTTAGTTTTGGTTCTTGTTAGTTTTAAGGTTGAGGTTTGTTCAAAGTTGTGGTTGAAATTAGTCATTATTATTTTAGCCTAGGGTTCATTGTTAGCTTAGGGTTGACATAAAGGTTAGCATTAGGATTGGGCAGTGTTCCCACAGTTCCCTTAAAAAAAAAAGCTGAGTGACTTTACGCGATTACGTGGTTTTTAAAGTTAAATTATAAGCTACGTTACAATTACATTCAGCAGATGCCAGCAACCCCGCTTACCATAAAAGTGACAACCGTTTTTGCCAATGCTAATTGATAAGTGTTGTTCCACGTCAACGCACGAGTGAACACTGACTGAAAAATATGATTCTTATTCATCCATCCATCCATCTTCAACACCACTTGAGCTGAACAGCGTCGCGGGATTCCTATTCATGTGGTGTAAAATCTTACTCAGTGCTGTATCCAAGAGGCCGTTGATGGCATAACCACTTGGTCATGAATTAAAAGTGTCCATGAGATTTCTGTTCTGTTTGCAAACATGATGAAACGTTCACCAGTAACGAAATGTGACTTTGCAATGTAACCAAAGTGAAATTACCCCACTGAGAGAAATAACGCGTTAAGATTAGTCGTTGCATTCTAACGTGTTACCGGCGTCACTGGTTTGGTAAATTTTGGGTGGAACTTTTCTGAATGGGTTTGTGCTTGGTGAATTCCACCTAGCAACAAGTGACAACTCACATGGAGGGTCCTGTCCTTATGTGCTCACATGTATGCCCCCGTCAGGCCTGCTCCATGCTGCCCAGGCCGTGGAGGCGAGCGAGCGGCTTATGTAATCCTCAATGGTAGACGTCTGAAGGCGTAATAATAATAAACTCCATCTGAATGGAGAGCACTGTCAACAAGGTTCTATGATTATTGAATATAATGACGGCTTATTTTAGCTGCAAGTGCCCAGTTCAATGTGTTTACTCTTTGAAACAAAGTCGTCGTGACAAAATTCATGTGAAAAGAATATGTTCATTGACAAGAGAAGTGGTGGCAGGGTCCCAGGAGTCAGCATTCATCATTTTTTACGTAATACGGAGTTGAAGCAAATTTTCACAATTCCACTTCCTGTTCTGTGGTTTTCATCACAATTTCCAAAACGCCTTAATATCTGGACAAACTTAAATGAACGAGTGAGGAATGATTAATGTGAGTGTCGGGGCTTGTGAAATATTGAAGTCAACATGTAACATGATCGATATATAGTGGCGCAGTGGAACCGTGCGGCAGAGGCCCCCCTCCGTCTTGTTCCTATAGGTGGGAGATGGAAAAAGAGGAGAAAGAAAGGCCATTACGCACATATTTTCATGTTAAGACACTTTCCATGCTGCTATTAAACTTTTACAGGGCAGCAGATTCCATAAATAATTTCCACGCCGAGGACCCTCCCGCACACTTTGCATATGGTCATAAAAAGTGACATGATAAAACATATTTTCTTGAGAGAGAGAGAGAGAGATAAAAATTTGCTGACGATCCAAGGAAGATGTTTAACGTGCAGAAAATAATATTTGCGGTGGTCGAAGTGTGCATAAATAGAGATGTCCACATTTTGGTCGAAATTGATTGTAGTTTTCTGCTGACATCTAGCAACGTTAAGCAACTACAATACAATAAAATAAATGTTTACTTATATAACGTCATACTGTTTTGGGAATTTGCTCTTCTCTTAAAATTAATAATTTTTGCGTGAGGAAACATTTTCACACACGGATCCTTTTGTGTTGAAAGCACGTTAGCTGTCTGGAACAAAACAAGACACGTCCGAATGCCTGTTATGTTGTTGTTGGGTTTTTTTCCATTTATTTGAGGGAATTATTGATGATTAATTTTTATTCCATGTTTTTTCATTTCATTTAAAAAAACATTGAACGAATGATACATGGATTAACATACATTATAATAGCTAAAAAAAAATGAAGGGTTTACGACAGGCAGCTGCCATTCAAGTAAATTGCATTGCACTGCCATCTGCTGGTGTAAAGGTCAAAATGCGGTTACAACAAGGCAGTGGTGTGGACGTGACAGTGTTCTTCTTCTGATCATTATTATTATCATCATACCTGCACTCTATTAAAAATGGGGGGTAAATCTATACTCATTTTTTTATGAGCCCATAAAATGGTATAAAAATAATAAAATAATAAAAATAATTATGGTGATTATTCATGTAACTGAACGTTATTACTGACGTTTTTTGTTTTTTTTTTGGTTGTTTATTATTTGACTGCTTACAGCATGCTTGTACGAAGTTGTGGTGTACTCCACATTTGGAGGATGCTCCTCACGTTCTGACCCCAATCATGTCGTTATATATAATAATGTAAATAATGTAAAGATGATTATTATGATTGTCGACATTTTCCTTTAAATATCGTTGACTAACCGATGTATTCTAATGACAAATTGTACGCATAATGTCAAGGATGATTAAATATCCAATACTTTGGTACGCAGCCCGTGTGTTGGATGCCCTTCCATGGGGCAAGTGGACCTAATAAAGTGTCCAGCTCATCTAACTATTTGCAGGAGAAAATCCCTTCACAGTTGAATACCTTTTCAATAATGCCGGCTTTATGAAGTGCCTCCCTCCCTCCCTCAGTTGCCATCTGTTCAGGAGAAGATAATTACATAAAGACTAATTACAAAGAGGCTGGGCTGTAATTAGTGATAAACGGCAATTGTAGTACTCAACGTGCTTGACTTCATCATTTGGCTTTTGATGCACACTGCAAAAATATGAACAAGAAGATGTATCGCCTGCAGCAATCAAGTCATCCGGGTCAATGTGCAGTCACAGGATCAGATCCAACTCCTTCAGGCGCTGCAAGAGGAACAGGAGGTGAACCAACACACGCACGCACACACGGGGACAAGTTTCTATTGCTCTGGGCAATGCACCGAGTGGCTACCGTGAATGCTCTGGGTATTCGAAATTTGAACAGGGGTTCCTGCGGCCACAACGGCTTCACCACCGCGTGCAAAAAAAGAAAAACATTTCCTCACGAGCTAGCCAGGAGTCGAACCTAGAATCTTCTGATCCGTAGTCAGACGCGTTATCCATTGCGCCACTAGCCCACAAATACAAGTCAACATCTCTCGGTGGTCCCTTGTGGAGGAACCTTCCGGTTCTTGATAAAGTAAAACAGCAAATGAATAAG